GGGGGGGGGGGGGGGGCCGCGCCGGGGGGGGGGGGGGGGGGGGGGGGCGAGAGGAATCTGGGCCAGAGCGGCCTTTGCCCTGCCCTGAGCCTTGCTGGCAGCTGACCTTTGACCCCTGCCTGAGCCCAGCCCACCTCGGAGGGCTCCAAGGGCTGGAAGACCAAGCAGAGCCGGGCTGGCGGGTGGGGAGCAGGCGGCCAGGCTCCCTGCAGGGCCCCGGTGGCAGGGCGGGGGCGGGGGGGCGGGCCTTGTGTGGTGGCTTCTGCCCCGGCCTCCTCCTCCTTCCTCCTTCCTCCTCCTCCTCCTCCTCCGCTTGGAGCACCTGCTCTCCTGCCTGCTGGCAGGCCGAAGTTCAGCTGCAGAGCCTGCAGGACGCGGAGCCTCATGGACGGGCCGGTGGGAGCCTCTCCGCCCCCCCGGGGTAGGTCCTCTCCCCTTCCCTGCAGCCGGGGGGGGGGGAAGGGGCAGGGGGGCTCTGGGTGCCGGGGGGGGGGGAGCTTGGGGGCTGCTCCTGGACTGGGGGCCCCTTTTTGTACCCCGCCACAGGTCAGCCGGAGAAGGGGATCCTGCTTCGGCAGCTGGAGGCCCTCAGCGTCTTCCAGTGGGTGCTGACCTTCCTCTTCTTCGGTAGGAGCGGGGGGGGGAGGATGTGGGGGTGGGAGCCTGTGGGCTCAGGCCAGCCCCCTTCCTCTTGGGAGGGGAGGGCGGCCCCTCGGGGCAAAGGGGCCTGGGGGCCTTCTGAGCCCAGGTGGGGGGCAGGCAGGGGCCCCATGTGAAGCCTGGCCTCCCCCCTCCAGGCCTCTTCTTCACCCTGCTCCTAATTTACCTGCTCTTCACCTCCTTCTGGTCGCTGAGCGTGCTCTACTTCGCCTGGTGGATGGTGGACTTGGAGACCCCGATGCACGGTGCGGAGCTCCCCCTCCCTCCCTCCCTCCCTCCCTCCCCGGGATCCCCCCCTCCGCCCAGGGCTGCCCCCTCGGCCTTCAAGCTGCCAGGGCTCTTCCTGATCCTCCTGCAGCAAGAGGGGGGGTCCTTGGGGTCTCTGCCCCTGTGGGGCCCTCTCGGGTCCTGAGCCCAGACCCCCTTTCCGGTGGGAGGCGGCTGTGGAGCTGGGCGGGGGAGGGGGGGCCGGGGGGGACAAGAACTGTGGTCTTTGGGCGGTGGCCTTCTCAAAGGGGGTGCCCTCTTGCCCTCCGCCTGGACTCTTGGCCAGGCAGGTTCCCCGGGGGAAGCTGGATCTGGCCACCGAACACCTCCCCCGACCCCCCCACCCCCGCTGATCCCCCAAACCCCAGCCGCCGCCTCCTACCCGCGGGCCCAGCCGGGCAGCCGGGCCCCACGGTTCCCCTTGCAGGACCAGCCACCCACTCGGGGCTCTTGCGCTCTCTCCCGGCAGGAGGACGTCGCAGCCAGTGGATGAGGAGCTGGAAGGTCTGGGAGCTGCACAGGGACTATTTCCCCATCCAGGTAGGAGGAGGAGGAGGAGGAGGAGGAGCCCTGGGTGGAGGCCGCGGCCCCACCTGGCCCCCTGAAAGAGCTGCTTCCCGCTGGGCCCGGGCTAGCCCCAGGCCCAGCCCCTCCACGGCTTGGAAAACGGGGGGGAAGGGGGGTGAAGGCCGTGGACTCTTTGGGTGGGACGGTTGGCCTGTGGGACCCACTGCCCCCCCCCCCCTGCAGGGAGGCCTGCTCTGCCCCAGGGCAGGAGAGGGGAGGGGCCCCCACCGCTCTGCTCTCCCCCGCAGCTGGTGAAGACGGCCGAACTGCCCCCCACCCGGAACTACGTGCTGGGCTCCCACCCCCACGGCATCATCTGCGCCGGAGCCTTTTCCGCCTTCTGCACGGAGGCCTGTGGCTTCTCCCGGACCTTTCCCGGCCTGACCTCCAGCCTGGCCCTCCTGGCCGGTCTCTTCTACGTGCCCGTCTATCGCGAGTACATGATGAGCTCAGGTGGGGAACCGCCTTTCCTCCCCTGCCTGGTGTCGGGCCACCCGTCCTTTGCGCCTCGGAGGCCAGGCGCCCCTCCGGTCCGGCACTCTGAGGCTTGGGAGGGTTTTTTTGGGGGGGTGGCTGCCGCAGTGACCCTCTCTTTGGAGTGTTTGGGACCCAGCAACCCCCTCCCCCTTGGACCTTCCTGCCCTGGACTCGCAGGGAAGGGAATCTCCTCAGTGGGGGGGGAGGGGAGGCAGAGGGCAGAGGAGGCTCCTGATGCCCTCCGTGGCCAGGCGGGGAGGGGGGTCCGGCCACCAGGCGAAGGCGCACTAGGGCTATGCAATGCGGTCGCTTCCCCCCTGCCCCCCCCTTGTCCCACTCCAGGGATGGTGCCCGTCAGCAAGAGGTCTCTGGACTTCCTGCTCCGAGCGGGGCCTGGACGGGCGGTGGTCATTGTGGTGGGCGGGGCCATGGAGTCCCTGGACTGCAATCCCGGCGAGCAACGGGTGCATCTCTCCGGCCGGCGAGGCTTCGTGCGGCTGGCGCTGGAGCACGGGTGAGGGTCTCCCCACGGCCTGGGCGGGGATGAGGGCCGCTGGCTCCAGTCATGGGCAGGTGAGGGGGAAGAGCTCTCAGCGGCCTCCCCCGGGCTCCTCTCGGCTGAGGGGGCCCAAAGCGTAGGACCCCACGGGGGGTGGGCGGGCGTGTGTGGGGGCTCTCCTACCTGTCCCCTGAGCAGAATCCCCCCCTCCCCCCGCATTTCTGTTCCAGGGCTGACCTGGTCCCCGTCTTCTCCTTTGGAGAGAACGACATTTTCCGGCAGGTGCAGTTCCCCAGGGGAAGCCGCCTCCACCGTCTCCAGCTTTGGTTCAAGCAGCTGGCCGGCTTCGCTCCCTGCCTTTTCGTGGGGCGCGGCCTCTTTTTCAGCCGCTGCTGGGGGCTCCTGCCCCAGCCCTCCCCCATCACGGTTGTAGGTGAGCCTGGGATCTTCTCCTACCCCACCCCCTCCCCCGGGCGGTGGGAGAGCAGCCTTCTGCTCCACTTCCTCTCTCCCACAGACCCAGCCGCTCTGTTTCTCTCTCTCTCTCTCCCGCTCCCTCTCTCTCT